AATGAAAATGGCAGTAAAAGTGCTAGTTTTTAGCTGGTGTTAATAAGACTGAAATTTCTCTGAAGGTGTGAACGTCGTTTTGAAGGGCACAGTAACCGCTGCTACCCATGTGGAATTGCAGTATCTCCTTGTGGACAGTTTATAGCCAGTGGATCAGATGACAAATGTGTAAGTAAAGTTTTTGATTATTTTCCTCCTAAGCTATAGGAGCTACTCATATTGTACACAAAGTAGTCTTTTTATGCATGTTTCTTAGATTCAGCTTAATGTGGAAAACTGAGTTCTATTATACTTTCATATACTTCATTTATATGTAGCAGTTACATACGATTCCTGGTCTGTATGTTCTTTATTTGCCTGAAAAATCCCCGAACAACCAAATCTTAGTGTTCTAAGTAATTGTGAAAAGCTTGTTTCTAAAAGTCTTCATAGTGCTTGACTCTGAATTGTCACGTGCCATCAAAGACTGTTATCCCCTGTTGCACAGCTTTATGTAGTGGTACATATCTGACCACTAGGAACGATGTAGCAACTACACATTAATTTACTTAAGCTCCCAAATACAGGGTGATGAATCTTTCATTACTGATTTCTTATGAACCAGTCAGCTGAATAAAAAATGAAACGTCATTCTGCTGTAATTGGACCTTTTCATAATCTGTGGTGTAACTTTGTATGTGTGTTTCCTCCCTACACAGTTTCTCTTCTCATTCAATGTCAACTGTATTTAAATAACTACAGTTAGCAAAGAGTCCTGAGCAAAAGTGTATTACTACCTTTTTGAGAATGCACATAATTTTAATTCAGTAAAGCCTGCATTGTTGGCACCATGGTTTTTTTTGATGTTTGCTGGGTGATAGATGATTGCTAGCTTGTAGCAAAGGCCTTTGAAACTGGGCTGGGGTTGGGCTCACTGAAACACATACTTTCAAAACTGCTGGGTAGGAAAGCTGTTTAACTTTCTTCTAGGTCTTTCTAGGTGACTCATCAGGACTATGACACAGGGTTTCTGGTCAACTTCAAATTCAGAATAAGAGGAATTTACTGTTGTGGCTAGTTTTGAAATACTGGTTCCAATCATGTGTGAAGGTTAGAGATTTTATTGGCAGATTGCTGGAGGTTTGGCAATAGCTAATGTGTTCTTGACATTTCCACAATAAAATACATTTTTCAAGTTTCTGGTAATTTGCATTTCAAAATGTAGTTTGCAATATAAAATAAAGCCTTTTTGCTTTGTCTGTGAAACAAAATGCATCTAATATTGCTCTCAGCTCATGATGTTTATGATATAAACATATTTAGTTGAGATTACTAATTAAGGTTGATTTTGAATATTGTAAAAGGAGGTGCAGTCACAAGGCCTTTTGTCTTTTTTGCGTTAAGGCTATTGCTTGGAATTACTGCTGATACAAGAAAAGAAAGCCCTAGAACATGATTTTGCCCTTACTCCAAATTCTTGGTGCATAGTTTCTCATAGGAAGCTGAATAGCCGGAGTGCATCCTGCTCCAGCTGGCACCATTGTCCCTGTTGGTCACAGTGCCAGTCAATACTTTTTAGTGTGGCTCCTGGGTTGGAATTTTGCATGATTTGCATTGTATACCTGTAGAGAACTTTCACTGTTCTCACAGTTGTCCACTCAGGAAAACTGAGTTGAGTTTCGGACTCTTGCTACAACTGTACTCTTAGGACAAAATACAGTTTTGGGGCATCTTTAGGAGGCTTCTCTTTGAAATGTTGAGACTGGATATACTTTTGTGTTTCCTTTTGAAAAAGAAAATTGTACATGGCACTGAGTAGTCCATTCATGTTGTTAAACTACTAACATCCTGACAGAGGGACTGATGTGCAACTGGAACAGTTTTAAGAGAATCAAGAAGCCACATATTTTTGCAGATTGTATTCTGTGAGTGAATGTTTCTTGCAATTTTATAAGCTGGATAAAAATTCAGCAGTGTGGATACAAGTGTTAACCTGATATAACGCACTCTGGAAAGAAGTTATGTAACTTTCCACTGGCCAGCAACTGCATCTTCAGTCATCTTGGAGCTTAATTTTTCAAGTGCAATGCTTGCACCCTGTGGTTAACAAATAAGATTTATTTTAAAGCCAAAAGAGGCAGAACTGGAATATAATTGAGAGACATTAATCTTAAATTGCTTTTTATATTTCACGATATCTGAAGTGTTTGACAGAGAGGAATAGGTTGGCTGCGTTTATTAATAGTAAAATCAAAAACATATTCCTACAGGACATAGAATCAGAAAACCAAAATATGTTATTGTAAACAAAGAGATGCAAATTCTGTCTGCCTTTTTCTCTACTTATAAGTATATGGCCTATTTTATGTGAGAACAACTTGGGATAGCTTCTGTGTGGCTGAAGTAGCCACTTGTTTTTTATCTGAACTGCTTTTTTGGGTGTTAGTATAAGATTTGTACGTACTGTAAATCATGGGTTGAAAGTGTTCCCCAGACTGATTCTTCCAACTTCTTTAAGAGGACCTTTGTCAAGACCTGTGTAGGACTGACAGTCTGATCAAAGCAGGTACCCACAGTATCCTGGTTTTGAACTGTGATTATACTTAAGATAATTCATTGTGATTAGAAAATGTATAAAGTTAATATTTCTAGTATCAGATCTTCTCTTCATCTTAAATAGCCTCAGGTTACAAGTGACATGGGCTGACCTTTTCTTAGCTGAATACGCATAATATTTTAATTTCTAACCATTTTACAAGTGGAAAGTTTGAGGTTTTTATCAGACAATAGTATTAAGGATGTTGGACAAATAATCTAATTGGGTTTAGATTTCCATTTTCCTGGGCTCTGTGCAAAAGTGTTTACCTAAACATTTGTTGAACAAAGAAATCTTAGTCTAAATGGACAAAAATATCTGGAGAGTGTGAAACACTACGTTTTAAAATAGAAATATCTAGTCTTCTCCTGTGCTCCATGCAGTTCTAGTTAGCTGGTTTACTTCATGTTTAATTAGGTTCTTCATTTTTGTCTTTGAAGACCTTAGGGCTCTCTGAATAAATTCCAAGTTTCCAGAAATGAAGTAGGGAATGCAGAAATAAAGATTTGGCTCTTTAATTGTTTTCAGATTCATTCTTGCTAGCTCTGTTTGAACTGTGGACTTTAAGGGACACACTTTGACCCTGGTGCTGAAATGGAATTTGCTAGCATAAAACTCTGTGTGCATGTCAAATCTCAAAGCCTGGGCTCACAGTTCACACTGACTGACCCAGATTGCAGACCCAGAAGTTTTTCAGCATAACAGGTTGCTACATCAGTAAAAAAAATACACAGGTAACGTATGAAGTTGCCTTCCATTTTATTTATGCTTTCCATCTAAGCATAGGATTTTGCCTACGACATTGTCTTTGAAACACATTCTAAATCCGGGATTAAATTTACGCATTCCAACTGTGAAGGCACCAAAGCTAGAGAGAGTAGGGAAATTGTTTCTTCTTCTCCAGAGAGCATCGACACTGAAAGGAGTAACAGGAGACAGCATAAGGCAATTTGATGCTTATACATAATACCAGTGCACTAACCACTTGTTAATCCCTGAATGTTAACATTTGTGAAAAATTGGTTTTAGAGTAAATTCCCGTTATGCAGATGCTGGGAACATACTGCTCAGGGGGCATATCCAAAGAATTCTGCAAACTTGTGAGTGGCGGCTGGATGTAAATCTCAACCTGACAGTGCTTGCAGACTCAGTCATTTTCAGATACAAGACTCTGCATCTGGTATAACACAAACTGTAGAATTTGTTTATGGTGGACACCTTAGTTTTAAATAGTTACAGAGGCTGATATTCCAAATAGAATGTCAGTCCTACTGAGCAATATGTTTTAATATTTTGCTACCAGATATTTATTTAGTTGTAAAATTCACTGTCTCAAGACACATAATATCTCCATGACTTTCCCTATTGGATTAGACTAATAACTTCTTCAATAAAGACAAGAAAAATACATATTTTATAACAAAAGTCTTAGTTTTATTTTCATCTATTGTTACATGAAGGTGAGTAACTTTAAAGATATTATTTCTTATTTTGTCACTCATAAATGCATTCAAACTGCATAAATGTACACAAATGCATAAACTCATCCTCTACTTTACTTGGCTACGTATATTTTGGCTTTGAGAAGCCATAGTGAAAGGAGCTCTATAATTTGAAGTAGTTTAATTTTTTTAAAGTTTTTCCCATTATTTTCTCTAATGTATCAATTGCAATGCACTGGTGCAGACTGAGCATCTGCTTTTTAGTTTGGATAAGGAGTGTGCACACCCCTTCTTGAAGCATGTCTCCCAGTCCTCCCCATTTACTTTGCTTTGGTTTGTATCACAGAGTGGTCTTGGATCATATAGATCAATTCCTTTCAAGTGAGGCTGAAGTGAAAGAGCAACTGAGCAAACTGAATTCTCTTTATATGCTAAGGGTGTTCAGTCCACTTCTGTGGTGGTCTGAAGTAAAGCACCAAAATATGTTTGGAAGCTTCTAAGAAGGGTGACTTACAGAGGCAAATCTGAGATATGGTTTAGATCTGTTTATATAATCTTTTTAGTGAGGAAAGTTCAAAGTGTGTTAGCTACATCTGTCAGCATTTGAACGTTTGAAAATTATCCCCTGCATCTTGAAACATGACTGACCTTGATAATATCCACTGTTTTAATAACAAAGAGCATTATGAATTTTCACTGTTACTGCTTTTGTAACGATGTCGAAGGAACTTGGGTCAAAAATGGGATCTTACTGTAGTGGGTTATTTCTGTGACTACCAGAAAGACAACCTCCATAAGTGGCATTAGAAGGGGGAGGGACTCTCAGAGGGCATGTTGTACAGGCTTGAGTAGACTTTCCATGCTACCATGTGGCAAGTGTATAAGATATCTCGGGACTGCAGAGCGTTAATCAGTGCTTAGGATACTTGTGAAATCTGTTTTATTATGTGTGGATTTGGCACTGATGCATATAGTTAAGGTAGTCTAACGCTTTCTCTATAATTCTGTTTTCAGTTGCTTATAATTGAGAACATTTTGGGCTGAAACTTTCCATGCTGGGTGTCTGCTTTGGGCTGATTGTTATTTTTCATTTTAGTATAAGTAGCTCAGGTGCTTTTTCATCTTGAGGTTGAGGAAAAACAAATATTTCA